AATAAAATATTCAAGTAACAAAAATAGAATAAAAAGAAATAATTGCCTGCTAGGATTTTCCCACACAGCTACCCTCCCTCCCTCCCTCCCTCCCTCCCTCCCTCATTCCTTCTCATTCATTCTCTTTCTCATCTACGATCCCTCCATTTTTCTCTTCTTCCTTCCTATGCTCCCTCCCACATTTTCTCTCACCCTCTCTCTCCCTCACACCCTGCCCCCCTCCATCCCCCTCCCTTCCTAATCTTCATGTTTTCCGTGTTTGAATGATGTAAAATTAATTAAATTTGGCAGAATTTTAATATCGTCAATATGTTAGTAAGTTACCTAATGACTAATTCAGTCTAAACAAGATTCTCAGTGTGGTACTCAAGCTTAATGAAATTCTGTCAGATGAGTTATAAAAAGAGTAACATCAAATGTTGACATTGTTTATAAGGCTTACGAAAGTAACTTTTTGAGTCGGGGAAAAAAATGTCAATTCAGAAACATATTTATTAACCAGAACGGCGTCTGTGTGTTGAGGATAAGAGAGCCGAACCTGTCAGGAGGATGTCTAGACCTTCTGGTCCAGAGCCTTCTCATAACTCCTTACAAAACCTGTACATCTTTTCTGGATCATGGCGACATTTTTTATATTTATCAAGCATTGTATGAGCTCTGAAGTGCTACAGATTTATAGCAATAATAATCTTGGCTTGTGAAGTTTTGAGGCTGATAAACAGTTCAATAACAAATAAACTAATCCATCATAATTGTTTGGAGATGTACAGGTTACAGGCCCTGGTGTGTGTGGTGACGGACCTCGGGGGAGGTTATCTTGAGGTTATCTTGAGATGATTTCGAGGCTTTTGTGTCCCCGCGGCCCGGTCCTCGACCAGGCCTCCACCCCCAGGAAGCAGCCCGTGACAGCTGACTAACACCCTGGTACCTATTTTACTGCTAGGTAACAGGGGCATAGGATGAAAGAAACTCTGCCCATTGTTTCACGCCGGCGCCCGGGATCGAACCCGGGACCACAGGATCACAAGTCCAGCTTGCTGTCCGCTCGGTCAACCGAGGAGACATTTGGTGTATAGTAATGAACCTCGCCACTCTTATGCCTCATTTAACACCTTTTTAAGTCAAGTTAGGAAGAGTTGGCACTCTGTCTCTCTCTCTCTCTCTCTCTCTCTCTCTCTCTCTCTCTCTCTCTCTCTCTCTCTCTCTCTCTCTCTCTCTCTCTCTCTCTCCCCCTCTCTCTCTCTCTCTCTCTCTCTCTCTCTCTCTCTCTCTCTCTCTCTCTCTCTCTCTCTCTCTCTCTCTCTCTCTCTCTCTCTCTCTCTCTCTCTCTCTCTCTCTCTCTCTCTCTCTCTCTCTCTCTCTCTCTCTCTCTCTCTCTCTCTCTCTCTCTCCTACAACATAACTAATAACATTATTAAATAATTCACACTTAGTGGGTATATCCGTGATCACTAGACATTAACGCAAAATCCAGAGAGTTGAGAAATTTTACCCACTATATCAACATTATTATCAAAGAAATGTATTATTTCTATATCATATCAAAATCATATTAGAATCACTTCAGATTCATTATATCCTACATGACAATGCCACTATGATCACATACACCATAGGGCCCATGGTGTCTACGTGATTTAGTGCATCATTTCTCAAGGATCTAGAAGCTTCGAAAAGAATATCTTAATTAAAAAACTATTGGAACAACCAATCGATTTCCGGTGAGGATTAAAGGAAATCCTTAATAGGACTCAATAATACTATCAAGTACTACCAATAATCTATAAATCCTATATCTAATTATATTATAATCACATCTTATCTGAATCATATGTCTAGACAGTAAAAATAATCAATCAATATGCATTGAAGGCTACTCTCTCTAGGGAGCGGGGCGGAGCCAACTCAAGAGATGAAGCGACCAAAGCAGCGCCCCGGGAAGGACATTTTGGTTACAGAGTGAACACGTGGCGCGATGCCTTGCGAACATTTTCAGTAAAGGACACAACACTAACTTATCATTATCACCAGTGATTACTCTCTAGAACTGAGGGGAGTACCTGGACTATATCTATAAGGAAAAATTTCTAGTACTTTATCTAAATAAGAGTGTAGAGTGGAGCACACCAAGCGATGCAGCCTCCACCTCCACCATCAACTGTATCTTATCCTACTGCAAATGCAACTATGGACATAATCAACTAACAAAGCTACTAGTATATTAAACAGCAAAGCTGTGTCATAAAATATAGTGCCTGAGCTCTACAAGAGAGGTTATCAAATCTGCCGACTTTTCAGAAGGCACCGGCATTTACATTAAGTATATTGAGTGTTATTGTAGTGTGTTGGTTGGCCTATTGCATGCTTGTATAACCTTAATTTATCCAATAAGTCTGTTTGTCATTACAAAGCGGGGCTACGCCCCATATTTTAATAAGTTTTGATTAATCTTTCAGCCATTGAATCTTTTCAAGTTATCTTGACACTCATTCATTGAAAT